TACATAAACACAAATACATACAATCTCACACACACTTTTTTCGCACATACATACTTCTATATATATATTTACTCATTTGTTTACGATTACACACACACACATATATATAAAGACAGTGTATGCCTGTATCTTCGTACGCCCATTAAGACGTGTGCATATCTTGTGACAGAACTCTTAGAAGCCGCATCAATGTGCAGAAAACAAAGAAAATGTGAAAGAAAAAAGAGAGAATATAGGTGTAAGGAACAGGTATATAAAGCGTCCTATTAGCGTTGTCGTTGTCGTTTCCAAATTGGCGAAGATGCATTAGGCATTTCAGGGACGATGGCTGATAGGATAGCGGGTCGGCGATAGGCACTTGAAACAGGTTGTGTTCCTGGGACTCGTATTCGGGTTCCTCTTCCCTTCCAAGATTCACGGACTTCTAAATTTTCTTGGTAGGCTTGTGTATCATCTCATTGACTTTGACTTGACTTTCCGTGATAAATCTGTTTTTTTTTTATGTATTCTTGCTCTTTCACTAATTTCTACTTTTTTTCGTAATATAAGTCTGCGCATTCGCTCATCGAAATTCATCTTAGAGTAGAGTTTGGGTTTCCTGTACCCCCCCCCCTCCTATCCCTTGCTTGTTTTTGTCGTGTGGGGGGGGGGGGAGAAGAGGACTGAGGCCCAATGTGGGGGTCACCCCTACCTTGGTCCTCAGCCTTTGAGTCAACTATTTTTGCAAGGTCATTTCTTCTCCTTTCCTTTTCCTTCTCTTCTTCATCCTTTTCCCCTGTCCACTTATCCTAATCATTAATACATGTTTACCTTTTTCGCCACAATACTTTATAATGCCATATGACCTTTGATGTCTTGCACACTTATTTGTTTTGACCATTAACCGTTCTGGAAATCCACAAACATCGTTTTATTGAAAGAGAAAAAATCCTTTCCTGGGGACTTCGTTCCCAAGCCCCTCTATCGTTATGATTGGATTACGCCGCTAATGACCTTAGATGTTGACGCGGTAGAAAATTTTCAATAAAAAATAAACAGGTCTCCTGTAACTATGCAGATCTGTATAATGCGCTTTCAACTGTTAACTTTTTCTCTCTTTGGCAGGTTCTGTTTGGCGTGATTGCCGCGGCCCTCGCTGCCCCTGTTCCCGACGAGAAGGTGGTTGCTGTGCACCATGCTGTAGCTCCTGCAGCGCTGCCCTACGCTGGCGCCGCTTTGACCCACGCTGTGCCCTATGGTGCCCCTGCTCTGACTCACGCTGTGGCTCCTGCTGCCTACGCTGCCCCTGCTCTGACTCACGCTGTGGCTCCTGCTGCCTACGCTGCTCCTGCTCTGACCCACGCTGTGGCTCCCGCCGCAGTGTCCTACGCTGCCCCTGCTCTCACCCACTCTGTCGCCTATGCTGCCCCCACCCCAGTGGCACTGCCCCCGGCCGAGGTCAAGGTCCCCGTCACCCGCACCCACGTCGAGGTCCCCGTCCACCAGAAGGTCCACTATGGCACTCAGAGCTACGTGGCTGGCGCCACAACCACCATCCACAAGCCATCCCTGGCTGCGCCAGCCATTGCCCCGCCCTCCACACTCCTGGCTAAGGTCAGCCACAATGCCCCTGAGCTCACCATCCAGCGCCAGGAAGTGCCCGTCGAGAAGCACACTCCCAACTTCGTTGACACTCCCTACCACGCTGGCACCATCGTCAAGTACACCGAGCCCGAAGTGCGCGAAGTCAAGGTGCCCACCCCATATGCCCAGCCCGTAGCCGTGCCTCA